AGAAGTGGAGCTAATAGTACCCAAATTGACTACTTTTTAGTACGGACGACTTGGAGAACTAGCTACACTGATTGTAAGGTTATCCCAGGTGAGAGTGCTGTCACTCAGCATAGGATGCTTGTGCTTGATTTTCGAGGTAAAAAGAGTGGACGAGTTAAGGTACAAGGGGAGCCAAAGATAAAATGGTGGAGGCTCGAGGGAAATCTCCAACAAAGTTTTGCACACAAAATGTTGGAGGAAAATGTTTGGTCTATTGATAATGACGCACACGTGTGGTTATCAATGGAGTCCATCATTAACAAAGTGGCAAAGGAGATACTCGGAGAATCTAAAGAATATCTGCCACCAAAAAAGGACACATCTTGGTGGAATGATGAGGTGAAACAAGCGATAAGGGCCAAAAGAGAATGCTATAAGAAATTGGGCAAAAGTTGGAGCAACGAGAACATAGAGGAGTACAAAGAGGCTAGAAGAAGAGCAAAGAAAGCTGTGAAGGAAGCCGAAGGAAAAGTGAATAGGGAATTGTATGTAAAGTTGGATTCTAAGGAAGGAGAAAAAGATATCTACAGACTTGCTCGCCTTCGTGACCGTAGGACTCAAGATATCAGAAAAGTTAAGTGTGTGAAGGATGTCGATCAAAGGGTACTAATGAACGACGAAGAAATAAAAGAGAGGTGGAGGTCATACTTTGATACCTTGTTCAACGGGAATAAAGTCCAAGGTATTGATGATCTTACTATACCAGAGTGTATGGTAAATAGGGACTTCGTGAGAAGGATTCAAACAACAGAAGTTAAAGAGGCTATGAGAAAAATGGGCCGGAAGAAAGCAGTGGGCCCAGATGGCATACCGATCGAGGCTTGGAGAAGTTTGGGAGAGAAAGACATCGAGTGGCTAACACGTTTCTTCAACATGATTTGGAGAAAAAACAAAATGCCAGTGAGTTGGCGGAAGATCAGAGTACTCTCATTCCCTTATTTAAAAATAAGGGTGATGTACAAGAATGTGCTAACTATCGATGGATTAAGCTTATGAGTCACACCATGAAACTTTAGGAGCGAGTGGTTGAGCAAAGACTACATAAAAGTGTGAAAATTTCAGAGAATCAATTTGGTTTTTTGCCTGGACGCTTAACAACTGAAGTCATTCACCTTTTTAGACAAGTTGTGGAGAAGTATAGAGACACTAAAAAGGATCTGCATTTGGTGTTCATTGACTTAGAAAAGGTAAGGGTGGGCATAAAACCCGAACCGAACCGGTACCGAACCATCCCGTAATGGTACCGAACCGAATACCGGGTATTTAAACGGTTCTACAGTTTTTTATCCCGTACCAAAACCGTACCGTTTGAAACGGGTACGGGACCGGTCCTAGATTTTGAGAACCGAAAATACCGGACCGAACCGTTTGTAAATAATGCATTTAAATTTTTTATATTTTTTCTATATCAATAGATCTAGACCAACAATTTTATACCCCAAGTATGTATTCATGTGTCCCTAAGATATCTAAAGTGTGTTGTTTATATATATATTGCTAGTTTTTCTTTTTAGATAATTTATGTTATGTTTTGTTATGTATTGAAAGAATATTAAAATTTTAGAAATCATTAATGATTATTTATTTCTAGTAATGTAGTGTACATGACTTTTTGTTGTATCATGTTTGTGCATTTTTTACAACTTAATTAATATGGTTTAAATCTTAGCTCTCAAGGTTCAACTATAAATTAAATTAGAACTACAGAGTAATATTTAACCTAGAACGAAGAAGAAGAACGTTGAAGATTTCTATTATATTCAACAATTTGATGATATTTGTTTTTATATTTTCACATGAAATTAGTAAATTAAAAATGATATTTATCTCGTGCGTCATCATTTTGCTATATTTTTTCATAGTTGTGTTGCGCTATTTGTGTATTTTTGAATTTTAGTACTAGGTATGCAATTTCTTATATTTATTTCAACATTTCATGTGAGTTGGTTGGTGTGATGATATCTACTAATTGCAAGATTTGTTCAAAAAATTTAGCATATGTTTGGCATTGTACCGTACCGTTTTGTACCGTTCCGAAACGACATGGTACCGAACGGTTCTATCCTGGGAACCGGACCGTACCGGACCGTTAAAAACCTCACGGATACATTATGGGTTTTACCAATTTTACCGGACCGTTCCGGACCGCGCCCACCCCTAAGAAAAGGCATATGATAGGGTAACTCAAGAAGTTCTTTGGTGAGCCTTAACTAGAAAAGGCATATAGCGTAAGTATATTAGCATCATCATGGATATGTATGATCAGGACCATCTCCAGGAATTTTGGTGCCCCAGACAAAAAATAGCTAATGCTATCAAATTGTACTTCAAATTAATAACATAATTAAATATGAAATAATTTAAAAATTATAACATCATTTTTTACTAAATGTAAAAAGAAATACCTGATTTAAAATTGATGTAAAGTATGTGAACATATAAATTATTCAAAGAAATAAATAAAATTATAAAAGTACTACCTAATAACATATTCTTCTTGCTTTTTGATGTGCAAATTTGTAAGTACATCACCACAATCAAGAGTAGATAACACTTTTTTCACCATTTGCAAGCACCGAGTTTAGTGTTTGTCACTAAAACTCCGTTTTTTATCAACGAGGTAATCATCATGATCAATAATTCTTATTGGGCCAGTTTATTCTATATATATATAGGAAAATTCTCAGGTCAGAAAGTTCAGACCTGAGGCGCCGTCCGAACACCACCGTTTGGGGCGGTTGCCGGTGGAATGTTCAATGGAATTTTTATGGTATGGTATGCATCAAGTCTAGTTTATTCACAAAACAATTCAGCTCAAAACTAGATCCGGTAGGCCGTCAAATAATTTTTGGAAGTTGACTGCGTTTTTTTATGTATAATTTTGCGCAGTTAATTTCCAAAAATTATTTGACGGCCTTACCGGTCGGAGTTTGAGCTGAAATGTTTTGTGAATAAACTAGGCTTGACGAAGAACATACCATTAAAATTTCATCAAAATATTCCACCGTAAACCACCCCGAAAAGCGTTGTTCGGACGGCGTTCAGACCAAAACCTGTTGGACAGGAGAATGATGCCCCCCTTGGGAGTGGTGCCCTAGGTCCCTGCCTAGGTGCCTACCCCCTATGGCCGGCCCTGTGTATGATGATTGTATTACAAGTGTCCGCACTAGTGTAGGGAAGACCGCAGAGTTCCCTATTACTATTGGAGTGCACCAAAGATCTGCTCTGAGTCCTTTCCTATTTGCTTTAGTCATGAATGAACTTACGAAGTCAATTCAAGAAGATATACCGTGGTGCATGATGTTTGCCGACGATATTGTATTGATTGATGAGACACAATCCGGTGTTAAAGCAAAGTTGGAAGTATGGCGACAAACATTGGAGAGCAAGGGTTTCAAACTGAGCCAAAGCAAGATTGAGTATATGGAGTGCAAGTTCGGTGGAGGTAGAAGCAGTAGCAACAGTGGGATTACTCTTGATGGTAAGGAGATACAGGTGTGTGATATGTTCCGTTACTTGGGATCCATAATTCAGAAGGATGGTGAATTAGATGGAGATATATGTCATAGAATCAGAGCTGGGTGGATGAAATAGAAAAGTGCTTCAGGATTTCTATGCGATCGAGGTATGCTGACTAAACTGAAAGGTAAATTTTATCGTACAACAATTAGACCGGCATTAATGTATGGCGTAGAGTGTTGGGCGGTGAAGCAATGCCACATTCAAAAGATGAGTGTGACAGAGATGCGTATGTTGCGTTGGATGTGTGGACATACCAGAAAAGACCGCCTGAGGAATGAGGTAATCAGACAAAAGGTGAGAGTAGCACCTATAGAAGATAAGATGCAGGAGTCTCGTTTGCGGTGGTTTGGGGCATGTGCATAGAAGACCGAGTGATGCACCTGTTAGACGACTTGAGGGGTGGGGAGAAGAGTCAGAGAAGAGAGGGAGGGGAAGATCCAAACAGACTTGGATTAGAGTAATTAGAACTAATATGCGTCTTCTTGGGTTGGATGAGAGTATGGCTTTGGAGAGAGCAAAGTGGAGGGCGCACATCCATGTGGACGATTGATGTCTTGTCTACCTTTCCTCTCTTGTTTCTTTTATCGTTTATCTTCCTTATCATTTTATATTCTATGTTATTTTTATCTTCTAGCTTTTTTATGCTCTTTTATTTATTATTCTTTTATCTTGGTTATATTCTTGTGTTATTGTTATCTTATATTTATGTATCTTTATTTAATTCATTTTACCTTACTTTTTTTCCTTTTCTTGTCCGCCTTCTCTTTTTGGCATCGATATCATAGATCGATTCATGTTAGCCGACCCCAAATTCTTTTGGGATTAAGGCTTGGATGTTGTTGTTGTATTAGTTATTTAAAGTTAACATTAAAAACTTATGAAATGAATATTAAAAAAAATTAAAGTGAGAATTACACCAATATGCATGGATATGACATTTTAAAATGAGCATTACACCAATATCAATTGAACATTCATGTTTACGAAATGAGCATAAAAAAATTCATAAGTTATGAAATGAGCATAGAAAAATTTAAAATGAACATTACACCAATATGCATGGATGTGACATTTTCAAAATGAGCATTACATCAACATAAAATTAACATACATAACTTAAGAAATGAGCATCGAAAAACTTAAAACGCTTATTTAAAATCTCTAGTATGCCTAAATATTAAATGAGAATACATAACTTATGAAATGAGCATCGAAAAATTTAAAATGAGTGTTACACCAACATTACATTTTAAAATGAGTATTGTACCAATTTCAAATGAGTTTACATAACTTATGTAATAAGCATTCAAAAAATTTAAAAAACTCAATTAAAATCTCTAGTATGCGCGAATATGAATTTGTGTAGACTCATATCAATATAACATATATAAAGAAGCACCAATTCCTTATTTTAGACCAACCAATTTAATTGTCCTTATTAGAAAAATTAAAATTCAAAAAAAAAAGGAAGGGATAATTTGTAGAACCAAGCGTAGAAACGATAGGCTCCTAGTTCCTAAATTATACAGAGTTAATATTGCGAATCAAACCCCACAAGTTTCTCAAAATCCCTCCCATTTTTTTAGCTTAGGGTTTTCTTATTAAATTTTTACATATAAATAAATTGGTATTAATCCGACACAGAACGGCAGAAGATCTATCTGAGGGAGTTGTCGTTTCACCACCATTTTGCTAACGATTACAAAAAAAACCGGGTGTACACGGATGTACGACAGTGGCGCTGAATTAGGTGAGACATACATGTTTAATCCACACATACTACATGTTTTACAGAGCAAAGGCCATTTATTATTACTAAATTTATCAAACATGCATGATTATATATAGATGTGTATTCCTCATAAAATTATCCCATTATAGATCTTGAATAACGCATGTCTTCTTGCTTAATTAAATTCGGCTGGAATCGCCAATGTCAAGCAAAGCCAAGCTTTCACAGTAGGTTGCTGATTGAAGTTCAAGAGCAGATCTGTAGTCATACCCCTCCAGTTTCTTGAAGGAACCGCCATGGGCAGAATTGTAAAACACCAGCTCTGTTCCCAGCTTAAGCAAAAACTCAGCCCCATTTTCTGACATATACACCACAGACACATAACCTCTGAAATCACCACAAGGCAGCAAAGAGACAGAAGACACTTTAGTCCAAGATTCAACCAGCCCATACTGCTTCATCACCCACACATCCACCATCTTCTCTGCAGAAGATATGTAACAAGCTGCCAGGTGCTTACCATCCAGAACCTCAAGTTTCAAGCGAAATTTCTCATTTTTAAAGATTTGAGGAATTGATATGGTCTTATACTTGCCCTCCATTATACCCAGATCGATGGCAATAATTTCCCAGAAATCATCCGCGTGGCGAATTTCCCAGAAATCATCCGCGTGGCGAATTTCCCAGTGAAGAGCTCCATTGAGAAAGACCCCGCATTTTCCGTTTATATACCCACTGCTAAACCCAGACATCATAGTCCAAGAATCAGTCTTTAAGCTATAAGACTGGACTTCATTGTCATATCTACCCCCGGATTGGTAGAAACTGGAGACTTTTATGAGTTTGTAATCCTCTGTGTGTTCATCGAAACCGAACCCATATCTGACATAGCATCCGGTCTTTCTCTGAACCCAAAGATCTGGGAATTCCCGGGATTTTCTTGTTGAAGGATTCCATATGAGCAGTTTGAGAGCAACAGTGGAGAGGCAGATCAGCCCTTTACAAGAACCTAAGATTCTCGGAGATTTACAGGGAGAAGTGGACAAACGGCTGAGATCGGGTAAAACCAGAGAGGGATTCTCACGGGAAAATGAATGAATGGAACAGACTCTCCCCTGGCCGGAGATTGTAGCAAGGAGGAGAAGTCGCCGGCTTTCGTGTTTTTGGGCGGATATTTCCCTATGGGCGATGACAAAGCGTTGGCTTGAGATCAAGAATCGCCATGATTTCGAAACGGATATGAATCGCAGGAGGCATTCCACGGGCAATCTTGTTAGAATTTCTGTGATGATTTCTGGGGGGAGATTGGGCAGCGTTAGGGATTCTTGGAGTGAAAGAACGGTCGTTTCTTGAGATGGTGGGCACTCCCTTTGGGCCACACTCGCCATCGATATTTCGTAGGTGGACTGATCTGGTTCGGATATATTCTGATAATACCAGATATGGTATGTGATCATTTTTACCAAAAATGAAGTACGTATATATTGATTGAGGATTGAAGGGGTAGCTCCGACCTCGTACGGAGCTTTCAATTATTACTAGTATTATATTCCCAACAATGACTTGGAAAAGTCCTCACTTGTATTCAGATTATATGGTGCTAGAGGGTACACGTCCGTTCCCCATTTTCCACATATTCCTAATTACTTTTCCTTCTTTTTTCTTTGGATAAGTCTCTTCTGCACATCGGGTAACATGCTCATTGTTTTATTTTTTTCGCTTTGTAAAGAGAATTGTGGCGTCATTCGGGTGATGCTATGATACTCCGTAATATAAAGAGTGTTGTGCATTACCTTTTTTCAAAGTAAACAAATTCTCTTTACAAAAATGAAAAACTATCATCTCAACACAGACAAAAAAAAACTAGCGTGTAACTCATCGTGTACACTAAGAAAGATTTATTTTCTTTGATTTGTAGTATAATTTGTTGCATACCTAGTTTTAATGTTTCTTATCTAAAATTTTAAGATATTATTTGAGATGACCTGATGGAGTATATGGCCCAGGAACCCCCGACCCATAGACTCCCACTACTATAGTGAAGGCCCAATAGGCTCAGGAAGCACAGCAGGCCCAAATCACAGCGCCCCAAGTACCAAACAGCCCATGCCGAATATTGGGGGTGCCTTCGGTATCTAGAGTACAGTACCAAACAGCCCACGACGAACACTGGGGGTGCCCACGACGAACACTGGGGGTCACGGGCTTACAGTACAGTTGCTTTTAAGCACTCAAAGTGTCTGGGAGAAAGCGGCGAAAACAGTAGCCCTCGGTATCTAGAGCCCTCGGCACCTAGAGGCCCCCGGGATGAAGAGCCTTCGGCTAATCATTTACGGCCGAAGGCTTCTCCTCGACAGAATCTCCCACCCACATGCGCTGGATCAACGTACCGAGTACAAACGTCACATCCAACCACCGCATTTAATGCGGCCACATGCGAGTGTTAACGTCATCCCGTTGAGGTGACCCCTCGACCATCAGAATGATGACACCGATCGTTAACAACAAACCTGAAAAGCTAATTGAACTAACTTTAGAAGATCCAGAGTACGTTCCTAATCTTCAAAATCTTATATGGTATTGTATTGAGTTTGATTCCTATTCATTTATGATGAATCTCTTTTTTTGTAGCGGAAATCGAATTGGATGCACATTGTGGAACAATTACTGCAAGCAGTTCACTGATTTTTATGCTTCTCACAACAAGGAACCCATCTACATCATCTTATAAATGGGAAGACCTAGACGCTATCAAGGTAAAAGACTAGACGCATTTTATAATCTTTGTTTAAGCTTCTTATGAGGTTCATGAAAGATTTCAATTTGTACAGGTCAAGTGTTTGTTGGTAAATCTTATGATGTTTCCAAATTGATAATAAATGGTTCTACCCCAGAGTTCGAAGACTACAAAGCACAATTCGGACCAGATGAAGATAATACAACAATGACTACCTTCACTACAAATTCAATGGGTCAAGGCAGTGAGGACGTTTTTAGAGGAAAGGCTACTATCACAAACATTGCTGATTTGCTAAAGGAACCGCAGGTAAAAAATTATTCAAGGTAGTCTATTTGTAAAAATAATCAGGTTTTGTAACCCACATATGTACGCAGGATGGAACCTATTGGCTACTTGGTGAGATTGTATCACTAGACAACTACAAGGACTGGTGTTACCTTAGCTGCCCAACATGCAACAAGAAAATCAAGCCAGAAGATGAAAGGTTTAGATGCATCACATGTGATACAACTCTTCCCGAGGGGATTTTGAGGTTGCATGATTTCTTAGGATGGATCCCTTGCCATTAGTTATAACCAGGCTATATGTAACTACATACTTTAATCTGCCAACTTTTGCAGATACAAAGTTTCAGTTTGTGTCATGGATGACTCAGGTCACACTACATTCACCTTATGGGATAGGGAATGTATTGACATTGTTGGTAAAACAACAGCAGCATTGAGGAACGAAGTTGAAAAGGTTTTTCAAAACACTTTTAATTTACATTTGTGATGGTTACTCACTACGATTTTCATTTCCAGAAAACTGGAGATCCAACCCACTTCCCAGAGGACATAGAGGCTATAATTGATCAAAGAGGCATCTTCAAAATTCAAATCAAAGCAAGAGACGAAAGTAGTTCTTACAAAGGTCTGGTTTCTTTTGGGATTCTTGCAATGATACGAGATAGATCTATCTTGGACCTTTACACCAAAAATGAAAGCCATTCACTAGAAATGGATGAGAACGCAGATGTAGAGAAGGTATATGTTTTGAAAAATATTTTGGTTTGGCGTGAACGACGTTATCTAAAACAGAAGGTGGGGATGATTCATTCCTAACAAGAACGTTGTTGCATTGCATATTCCTAATATATTTAGTATACAGGCTGTTTTGATTGAAGATGATGATTTCGTGTCACCGACCCAAGTTCAAGACAGAGACGAAAGGAGGTTAACTGAAAAGGTAAATGCCATGATGTGGTCCTTTTTTGACTTTTTTAGAGTCAAGTAAAGGCAATGATTAGATTTTTTTGTCAATGGACCAGAGTCAGGAAGTGGATTGCCAAGAAACACCAACAGCTAATCGGAAAAGTGGCCATATTGAAGGGAACGAACAACTTAAGAGGAATCTGAATGACCAGTTTTCAGCTAACGGAAACAACAAAAGGAGGAGTATACGCATAAAGATTGAGAAAGAATAGGGGAGACTTAACCTCAGGCTCGGCTACATTTTGTTGACGAAGGACACATATTGATGATTTCATGAATATTTTGTTTAGAAACTTTCATGTTTATTTAAAACAGTACTAAACCTTTTTGCTAAACTTTGAGCTGGGTCTGTAATAATTCTAACTCCGTTATGATATGTTTAAGTTGTAGGCTTAAACTAGACCTATCGCCTAAATTAAATATCCAAAACTATGGAGATCGGTCATGTGAATTTTGCAGGGTTGAAGATCGCATGGATATTGCGGAATGGAGATTGTCATATCGAGGATCAAGAAGACAGAGAGGAGGGTCCACAAGACTTGATTATTATGGAAATTCTAGGCAGCAAATATCTCTTATTTGTGAGAGTTGTAATTGTTTTAAATATAAATAAAACGCAATTGACTTATCAGTTTAAACATGGTTTTGTGTTGATAGCACTGTGGTTAAACAACAAACATACAAAAAAAAGTTTCTGATGAAAAATGTCATTACTGCATAAGTTTAACGGATGGTGAAAAAATCTGATTGCTGCCTATGTTTATAAAGATTTAACTATAAGTTTCAGATTAAAAAAATTGATCAAATTAAATCTAAATTTATGTGATAAATATTGTCCAAAAATGTTAGTACAAAAAAGTGTACTAGCAAAAATGTTAGTACATATTTTCGTTAATACAAATTAAAAGATTTATCAAATTCAATCCAAATTTGAACTTCATATTTCGAAAAAATGTTCACTACCAAAAATGATTGAAGAAAAAACTATGTTGAAAATATATGATTCCTAGGGCGGTACCCGCACAGAGTGGGCTAGCCCAAGTGAACCGAATGTTTTAAAAAAATAGGGGACAAATCAGGTTAAAAAATTGAGTTTCAGTTGAAAAAATATTTATCAAGTTTACTCGAAATTAGAACTACAAAAAATTTATGTGATGTAAATTTACTAAAGTTACTAACAAAAATGTTAGAAGAAAAAACTCGCTTGAATTATACTGCCTAAAATGAAAACATTAGGGCTGGATTAATTAGGTCAAGAAATTTAAAAATAAGTTTCAGATTAAAAATATTGATGAAGTATAATCTAACATTTTTGTAATTTATGTGATAGTATAATTTGAAAATAAGTGATAGTTGGAAAATACATTTTTGTAAACATATTTGAAAATAGTGAACATTTTTTGTATAAGTTAGTACGAAAAATAAATTTTTGGAAACACGATGATAGCATAATTTAAAATTAAGTTTTAATAACTTTTAAAAATACATATTTGGAAAGAAATATTGAGATATTTACTAAAAAAATGTTAGTAAAAAAAGTATACCAACAAAAATGTTAATACGCATTTTTGCAAGTTCAGATTAAAAAAGATTTATCAAATTCAATCCAAATTTGAACTTCATATATAGAAAAAATGTTCACTAAAAACATGTCACTTAATTTATGTTTTGAAAATTTACTACCAAAAATGCTAGAACAAAAAAGTATACTACCAAAAATGTTAGAAGAAAAAAGTGTGTTGAAAACATATGTTTTCCGGAGCGGGGGGGGCCACGCCGAGTCTATGCCTAGCCTAAGTTGAACGGAAGTTTAAAAATGATTCGAGACACATGACTTAATCGGGTTTAAAATTTCAGTTTACTACAGAAAATTTATGTGATGAATATTTATCAAGTAACATTAGTTTACTCGAAACTAGAACAAAAATGTTAGAAGAAAAAACTATCACTTGAATAATTTGCTGCCTGAAATGAAAAATTAGGGCTGGATTAATTGTAGGTCTTGAAACAAACCTAGGACTTGGGCAGTAGTGTTACATTTATTTCTTTGACTGTATTGGGTGCAGTCAATGAAAATAAGTGATATTTTAACCAAAACTTTCTATTCACCAAGGTTAAACATATTTTAACATTTTTATTTAAACCAAAACTTTCATTAAATATCCATATTTTGGTTAAACAAAGAATTAAAATGACACAAAATGTTGACTACATATAATTTATACATTCACAAAGGCTAATAATAATATAAGATTAAAAGTCATACCTGATGTTTGGTGTGGCTATGAACCTGTAATCCTAGATGTCTAAACTATTTAATTATTACATATGAGGCACCTTATTAAAGGCCCTATAACCTATGAATTACATTCATTAAACTAAAAGAAAAAATTACATATTCTTTGAAGTTCCTGAATGCACCTGAAATGTAAATAAAAACACCAAGTCATAGGAAAAACTATAATATTATTATAATCTTTTTATGACATTAAAAAAATAGGTAGTGTGAGTACGTAAAAGCTTATAACGGAAATATAAACCTTTTATACTTAGTTTTGAATTTTGAGAATCGAGAATAGTAATTGCTTTAAATAAAGCTGAAGTAGGGTGGTATGTTTATTGTAATGTTGCTTGAATGAACAATGACAAATGTTAAATGATAGTCTTTATATGAAATGAGCACTTTAATGTTGCTTCGAAAACTTTATGGAAAGATATGTATGATGCACACAATTCAAACACAAGATATGTTATAAGCGTATAATACTTCCATGTTAAAAATCCAGGTAATGTTTTTGAGTCCGTTTTAAAAATGAAGAGGTTGACTAAATCAACCATAATCAACCGTAAGAGAGCAAATGGAGATTTAGCTAATCAAGGTATGATATAAATCGCTTTATATTTTTAGTTGAAATTAAAAACATTCAAAGATAATTATCGTAGGAGTACTTATTACCATTACCAGACTTCATTTTTCAAATAAATTAAAATTGGGTTACATGTTTTGTTGAGCAATGGGCCGGCCTATCAAACCGCGCAGATCCGAAGGCCATTAAATGGCTGGCAGGGTATTTGATAGGCCAAAGACCAAAGTGAAGTTTAGGTCCAGTAGAAGAAGAATGACACATAATTCTAAATTTAAACAATATAAACAATATCGAGAAGTCTAGCTCATGTTCAAGACTTAAATCACAGAACAAATAGACAGACAGATTAAGACGTAGAGATAAGCAAGAGATTTATGCATATGTGTTTGAGACGTAAGCAGAATATGTTGACACAATACAGTTTAAGGCATATACGCATTACAACTTCATGGATCTACAGATCTCACAAAACAAATGCTATATGCCTTCTGAAACGTTCGTGCCCACGATATTAAAACTGAAAATAAACACAAAATACTTATACATATAATCGCATGTATAAGATCTTAATGCGAAAATCTTTATAATCCGAAAATATAAGACGTAATCGCATCACAACGACATAAATCTTTAGATCTTAATGCCCTAAATGCTATACGTTTTATGTAATCGCGGTGGATGCCAAATACCTATACATGCAAATAGATCTAAATGCAGAAAATCCCAAAACTAAGACGTAATCGCATGACAACGGCGTAGATCCTTAGATCTTAAAGCACTAAATGCAATACGTCTTATTTTAACAACCACGAAGCACAGATTTAGAAATTCCAGTTTCAACAATGATTTTCAAATATAAACGGAAAAAGAAACCATAAAAAATATCTATGAAACAATTCTAAACTAATTAAGACGTACACGCATCACAACTGCATAGATACTTAGATCTAAAAGCAACAAATGCAGTACGGCTTATGCAAACGATTTATAGATCCAAATAGATCTAAACGCAGAAAAATGAGCAATTATTCCGAGATCTATATACATCTATTAAAAAATCAATATATGAGCAATTATTTTTAAAAAATTACAATAAAAACAAGAACAGTTCAAAATTATTGGAAATCAAAAGACAATATAAAAACACAGAGTACAATCGTTTTATTTCCTCACATGTGTAAGAACACATGGATCATCGGATGTAACGAACAGGGCTAAGAGCAGGGCTCAAATCCAAAACTTCGTTTACATGTAAACGAGCAAAGTTTAGAATAGAACTATGACAATGAACACCAGTAAAAGATATGTGTTCGTTCATATGTTAACAAAACATACAAAAAGATCGATCGTAGAAGAGAGAAGAAGAGAGAATAAGAGAGATGAAGAGACTTTCGTTGAACCGGAGGATATTTGAGGTGTCCGGATAGAATAAGAGAAATGAAGAGGGTTATATAATGTTAGGGTTTGAGGTGGGGAAGAATGGGCTGGGCTGGGCTGTGGCCGGATTAATAAATACATAGGGCTGGGGAATAATGGGCTGGGCGGAATATTGGGTATATATGGAATTAGTTGGGCTGAGGCTAAATTATGCAATATTGTTTTCTATTTTTGGCTCAAATGGACCAAAATAATGGTAGATTGTTTTCTAAGCTAAGTAATGTCTCATCTATTTTATTAAATTTCATACATAGGTTCAAATAGTTTGGAAATACGTATTTAGAAGGGTTAAGTATTTATAAGGGGAAAATATTAAAATACCCCAAACTTTGAAGGGGTGTGAGGTAAACACCCTAAACTTGCATATGTATTTTAAATACCCCAAACTTTATATAAAAAGTTATTTCCTGATGTGATATATTTTAGCATTCATAAAGATACAATTAACATTCTAAGTTTGCAATGTAAAATAAATAGTATTACCCACCACTATATATAATTCTAATGTTTTCAATTTCCTGTTTTAAATTATGCATTTAATACCAAAAATTTACATTTTTGAAAGTTTGGGATATTAATATATAACCATGTTGTTAAAATGACTTTTTATATAATGTTTGGGATATTTAAATTACATATGAAAGTTCAGAATGTTTATCTCACACCCCTTCAAATGTTTGGGATATTTTAATTATTTTCCCCATATTATAATGATTAAACAAAATAATTTGTATTATGTATCATGGTAATGATAATAATAAAAATCATAAAATTCATATGATAATTACCCATATAAAAGTAAGATTTGTGAATAAAAGGATAACTTATATTTTTAAATAACATTTAAAATTATTACTCCTAATAGAAAACGAGTTGCTAAAGTTGGTAATAAAGATAAAAGCAAGTGAGTCACATTTCTGGAAATAGTGTATTGTATTGGAATAAGA